CGCTGACAGCACGTAGCGCCGGGGCGTGAACAGAAAGAACAGAAAGCCCAACGCGGCACTTCAAAGGAGGAAAAAAGCACCGAACAAACCAGGCGGGGGGGGGGGAACTAAAAAACTAGGAACGGGAGAGACGAGAAGACGACATAGCGAGGAAAATACGAGAACATACAGACAGCATGCTTGAAAAATGTTTTTAAAAGGGTGGGGTTTTTTTTTTTTTACGAGAGAAAGGGAGTTGAGAAGGCACACGGAGAAAGATACAAAGGCTGGAGAGCAAAACAAAAGTATAATTGAGGGGGGGGGAGTAAGAAAGGAAAGAGGAGGGAAAAGGGAGACAGAGGGAGGGAAAGCTGGAAGGAGAAGGATGAAAGTGAGGAGGGGGCGGAGCTCCTCAGGGTACGACTCGGCTTTTAAACACTAAAGATTCCCTCTGGACGTGTTTTAGGAAATGCAGAAAATACTCATTGCTTTGAAAAGAGTCACCCATATTTTTAAGAATCTTAAAATGCACCATAATCACAATCTATGCATTTGCCAAATAATTAAACTCCCAGATAACACATAAGATCTCCAATGTTAGTTTATACAACTTTTCTTAGTTAAATGCCCTCTTTCAAATCCTACTTTCGGCCGTGACTTGTGCGAAACATTTCTGGTTGGGACCACAAAGACTTCTTTGATCTGATTGACTAAATAACCTCTGAAAAACTGTTAAATGCTACATTTAATGTTGAGAATCCATCACTTAATTCCTGGCTAACCATTGAGATCACCACGCAATAACACCAAGACAGCATTGATGACATTTCACTTGTTAGACGCCAAAGTGACTTACATACTCAATACTGTGGACAATCCCCACAGGAGTAATTAGGGGTGAAGTGACAACGACATGCTGACTGCAGTGGGGTTTGAACCTGTGACCCCCTGATCCCAACACCAACGCACTAGTCCACTGCGCCACACGCCTCCCTATTGCATTAATATGCATCTTCTTAATAAGTTGCTCTGTAATTAAGTTAAAAACAGGGATTTATTTGCTTCTATCGCCGTGATTTCAGATCACGCCTCATGCTCACCACACATCTATTTTCCATTTCCATACATCGATTTCCATTCGATTTGATTGCGGTTGTTGCAGAAATTGAACGGCAGTTAACGATTGCATTGAAAAAGGAACACTGAATAGAAAAGGTGGTTTGTCCGACATACCTTATAGTATAATTATATGAACAAATGTTATTCAGAAACACAATCTGCAGGACCCCCGTTTGAGAAACACTGTCCTATTTCCCTGAAAAGCCCCTTCTCATCATGTGGCTTTGTGTTATGGGTAGAGAATATTATAAAACTTAAAAATAAACCTCCGCAGCTCTTCCTGTGAGTACGATTCCTTCGTGATAGCGGGACAAGAAAAACAAAACACTCCAGATGTCAAATCTATTTCAGAACGACGCAGAGCTTCTCTGTTTATTTGTCCTGCATCTCAGGTTGTGTCTAAGAACCATTCCCCGGCAGAGCTGGAGGAAGGGTTAAGAGAAGGAGAAATGGGGTACAGTATCACAGTGGGGGAAATAGCTTTCACAGATTTACCGGCAGTCTAAACATGTGCATGCCGGAAGAAGAAGAAGAGCTTTAACGCTGGTTTGTGCTCAACAAGTATCAAAGGAAGAAGGAAGGGAATTCCTGAATGGAAAGCTGAAAACTGAAACACTAAAAGTCTCCCCCTCCTTCCTCAAACTCGCTGACAGTCATAGAAACGGAGGAAGGGTTAGCTCCCTGAGCACGGCTAAGCCTTGTACAAATGATGCCAGTGTAAGGCCTGCTGTAGTGCTGAAGAGATAAGCCACTGATACCAAATGTTGGGGGAGAGACTGAGTCCAAAAATTGGAGACTAATAGCCACTTATCGGCTAAAAACTAAATCATGAATCAAAGATTTAATCTGGCTCTGGTGTTTGGTTGAAAACGTTGATTTGCAAATTGGGAATAAGAGACTTTCTGATTGACAATACGGCGCTTTTCCTCGGACGATAATGTCGTTATCGGCAAACATAACTTGTAGATTCTCTAAACGAAGCAAAAGAAAGAGTGACACTGCACAAAGCTGCTGAAAACGGGAGAAAGGGAAAGAAGGTTTTACAAATGCAATAGTGGTGGATCCTCTACCCTGTGATCCTGGCAGAGCAACAGTGAGAGCGTCTGGATGGGCTGGAGGCTTTCTCTGCTGCCTCTCATTTAATTACAACACAGAGCTGCAGGATTAGAGCGGGGCCTGTGTTCACAGCCTCACACTGGCACTGCCTCTCTCCTCTCTCCCCCCAAAGCTCTCGCCTTTCTGTTTCTGGAATTATCTCCTGTCTTTTTCTTTTTTAATATCTTCCCCACTTGTCTTCTCTATCCTTTTTCTCTTTCCGACTGTTTCTCTGATGAAATCTTTTCTTTGTTTAAGCTCCGTTCTCTTTTCCCGACGAGTTCTGCAGTCGCCATCCTCTCCTCGCTGCTCGCCCCCCTCTAATCCTCCCATCCTGTTTTTGCCGGAATTTCATCTGCGATGCAGACACGTCTTTATCTCTGTCTCAAACACATGTTTACTCTTGATTATAAAGAGACAACTGTGAATCCTTTAAGTGACAAAGTTGTGAGCGGGGCATGTGTTTGCTTGAAAATATTTGTGCATGTGTTGAAGTGTGTGATTGTGACGAAATGAAGAGTGTGAGCTACGCGTTAATGTGTGTGTTAGTTTTCGAGGTGTTTGTGCCCCGGCGGTCTCTGCAGACTACGATGGCACACTGCCTGGGCAAGCCCACACACACACACACACACACACACACACACACACACACACACACACACACACACACACACACACACACACACACACACACACACACACACACACACACACACACACACACACACACACACACACACACACACACACACACACACACACACACACACACACACACACACACACACACACACACACACACACACACCACACACACACCACACACACACACACACACACACACACACACACACACACACACACACACACACACACACACACACACACACACACACACACACACACACACACACACACACACACACACACACACACACACACACACACACACACACACACACACACACACACACACACACACACTCCTCTCTTGATTGTGTTTCCAGCAGCACGGCTAATTAAACTGGTAGTTAAAGCGGCGCTCATTAGCTCGCTAGCACAAAAAGCGGCCACAGAGAATACCACTGTTAGTGCTGACAACTGTATCCTAACACACTCATACTGTATTCACAATGGACCCATGCTAATTAATATTCAGTGGACAAAACGTGTGCGCAGGTGGAGGATAAACAGCCGGCTTATCTCGCTCCATCACAGGTACGAGCAAACAAAAGCATCGACACATGAGGCAGCGCGCAAACAAGGGAAATGATTAAAAGGCAAGAAGAAGAAGAAACTAAATGACACACAATAGATGGTCCTAACTTTTGTCCCTGCTGCTCTACACCCGCAGACAAAAGCCAATTACAGCTGTGGATGACTCCAGCAGAGCCGAGGACACTTCGTCACCTGCTGATACTCTGCTGCAGTGAAGATCAATTTAGCACTTGTTTGTGAGGGCAGTTATGAAAGAGAGAACTTGGATAACAGGATGATTAACTTACCTGATAGAGAGAGAGATAGATAGATAGATGGATAGATAGATAGATGGATAGAGAGATAGATAGATAGAGAGATAGAGAGAGAGAGATAGATAGATAGATAGATAGATAGAGAGAGATAGAGAGAGATAGATAGATAGATGGATAGAGAGAGAGATGGATAGATGGATAGATAGAGAGATGGATGGATAGATAGAGAGAGATAGATAGATAGATAGAGAGAGATGGATAGATAGATGGATAGATAGATGGATGGATAGATGGATAGAGAGAGATAGATAGAGAGATAGAGAGAGAGAGAGAGAGAGAGAGATGGATAGATGGATAGAGAGAGAGAGAGATGGATAGATAGATAGATAGATGGATGGATAGATGGATAGAGAGAGATAGATAGATAGATAGATAGAGAGAGAGAGAGAGAGAGATGGATAGATGGATAGAGAGAGAGAGAGATGGATAGATAGATAGAGAGAGAGATGGATAGATAGATAGAGAGATAGATAGATGGATAGATAGATGGATGGATAGATGGATAGAGAGAGATAGATAGAGAGATAGAGAGAGAGAGAGAGAGAGATGGATAGATAGATAGATAGATAGAGAGAGATGGATAGATAGATAGAGAGATAGATGGATAGATAGAGAGATAGAGAGAGAGATGGATGGATAGATAGATAGATAGATAGATAGAGAGAGATGGATAGATAGATAGAGAGATAGATGGATAGATAGAGAGATAGAGAGAGAGAGAGAGAGAGAGAGATAGATAGATACTTTATCGATCTCATTTTGGGACATGATTGTGTTACAGAAGCAGCAGTGTGTTCAGACATTAAAATACAAATACTTCAAAAGTGGAATAGAGAAATAGAGGGTTCATTATTTGTACATTTGCTGGCTTATCTAATAGACTTTATCCACCAAAATTAGGACATATATTCAGTTTTTTTACATGAAAAAGGCTTATTAAAAAAAGACAATAAACTCTCTTCCCAAAACCAGCAGATGGGTTTGCCTTTAAGTTCTTTTTAAGTGTCCCTCCAACGTCACGCACGAGTCAGAAGGGTTAGTAAACATAGAACATGTTACAGTGGTTACTAACTTTTTAACCGGTTACCTTGGCGACACACTTTACCTCACATGTAAATGTAATACCTTGGAAAATGCCCTTTAGTACTTTTTAAGACCCTGTTATGACAATAAAACCTTTGAATCTTGAATCTTTCCCATTAAAGACAAAAGCTTGATGCTAGTATGTTTTTGTGAGGCGTAGCTAAGTAGAAAGCCAGGTTGACGACGACTTACATTTTTACGTGGGAAGGTGGTGAGGAGCTTGAACTCTTCGAAGGGGAATCCCTTGGAGGCCACGAAGTCGAAGAGGACCTGAAGCTTGCAGCTGCTCAGGAAGCGCCGCTCCAGGAACTCTCCGCTGGGCGTGCGGATCCTCAGTTTGCTGATCTGCTCGGCTGAATCCTCGTCGGGCTCTACCGGTAGGGAGTGCTCCAAGGACAAGCGGATCGCCTGCGAGAAAGGGTGGAGAACATCCAGGGTTTTGGTCAGAACAGCACATCAACAACTATTAACACCTCATAATGACCAGACAAATGACTTCCTGGTTTGGAGAGGACAGAAAGAAGATAGCAATCATGAGTTCCTTTTGTAAACACAATGGAGAGGGGGTTTTAAAGGTCCCCTATCATACTGTTTCTCATCAATATATCACAGGTCTCAGATATATACAGAACCTGTCTCTGATTGGCTGAAACACCAAACAGATCATTGCAGCATTACCCATAATCCCCTCTGTTTCAGCCCTGTTTCCAAAGTGCTGATTCTCTGTCTGTTACTTTAGATGAAAATAAGGAGCCCCTCCCCACGCCCCTCTGAGAGAGATTTGGTTACAAAGAACTCAATGGTGCTCTAGGAGGAGATTCAGGTGATAAGGGGGGGGGGGGTTACCTTGGTTGCTGATTGGCTAATGGTTACACAAGACAACACATCGTGATGACATCATCAAGTGGCAAAAATCTGGTCAGCTCATTTTCAGACAGGTTTTTATAGAAATGGATCAAAAAGAGAGAGAATCTTTGTTCCTGAAACTTTCAGAGTCTCTTTCCACAGAGGGGACACATGTTGATGTAGAAGAGACATGAAGAAGAGGGGACACATGTTGATGTAGAAGAGACATGAAGAAGAGGGGACACATGTTGATGTAGAAGAGACATGAAGAAGAGGGGACACATGTTGATGTAGAAGAGACATGAAGAAGAGGGGACACATGGTGATGTAGAAGAGACATGGAGAAGAGGGGACATATGTTGATGTAGAAGAGACATGAAGAAGAGGGGACACATGTTGATGTAGAAGAGACATGAGGAAGAGGGGACACATGTTGATGTAGAAGAGACATGAAGAAGAGGGGACACATGTTGATGTAGAAGAGACATGAAGAAGAGGGGACACATGTTGATGTAGAAGAGACATGAGGAAGAGGGGACACATGTTGATGTAGAAGAGACATGAAGAAGAGGGGACACATGTTGATGTAGAAGAGACATGAAGAAGAGGGGACACATGTTGATGTAGAAGAGACATGAAGAAGAGGGGACACATGTTGATGTAGAAGAGACATGAAGAAGAGGGGACACATGTTGATGTAGAAGAGACATGAGGAAGAGGGGACACATGTTGATGTAGAAGAGACATGAAGAAGAGGGGACACATGTTGATGTAGAAGAGACATGAAGAAGAGGGGACACATGTTGATGTAGAAGAGACATGAAGAAGAGGGGACACATGTTGATGTAGAAGAGACATGAGGAAGAGGGGACACATGTTGATGTAGAAGAGACATGAAGAAGAGGGGACGCATGTTGATGTAGAAGAGACATGGAGAAGAGGGGACACATGTTGAAGTAGAAGAGACATGGAGAAGAGGGGACACATGTTGATGTAGAAGAGACATGAAGAAGAGGGGACACATGTTGATGTAGAAGAGACATGGAGAAGAGGGGACACATGTTGATGTAGAAGAGACATGAGGAAGAGGGGACACATGTTGATGTAGAAGAGACATGAAGAAGAGGGGACACATGTTGATGTAGAAGAGACATGAAGAAGAGGGGACACATGTTGATGTAGAAGAGACATGAGGAAGAGGGGACACATGTTGATGTAGAAGAGACATGAAGAAGAGGGGACACATGTTGATGTAGAAGAGACATGGAGAAGAGGGGACACATGTTGATGTAGAAGAGACATGAAGAAGAGGGGACACATGTTGATGTAGAAGAGACATGAAGAAGAGGGGACACATGTTGATGTAGAAGAGACATGAAGAAGAGGATTTTGCAGAATAGGTCCCCTTTAAAGAAGGCCTTTTACATGTTTGCAGTGTGTTGTGGGTTTGTGTGCATGTAAATGGTCTGAAAAGAAGGATTTTCAATAGAGGCACAACATAGAAATATGAGTTGCAATTACAAGCCGAGGACTTTTAGGAGTATTGCAGTTTGTCCACACTTCCTGATGCACACACGAGTCCATATATACTAAATGAAATAAATGGACAAACATGAAGAATAAGCAACCACATTGTCTAGCTTCTTTTTAAGTGAGTCAGTGTCTTGAGTGAAGGCAGAGGTGTTTGCATGCAGCTGCTGGTTGCATGCAGCTGTCAGAACTGGTTTTGTAATCCCAAGCTAATTAGCATTACAAAGTCTCTGTTTATGTTTTAATAATACAAATTGTTTTGACAGAAGTCTGCTTGCTTTGTGACAGGGAGCAGAACATTGAATTGAATGTGATATTCCTTTCCTTACACACTTAATGTATATAATATCCTGATTTATATTTTGTTTACTGTAAATTGGTATTTCAACATGTACATTTTCCACTTTGTGAATACTTCTATTTTGAGATATGTACATTTTTGAATTGTTTACTTCTACTCTTTTAATTTCTCTTGTGTGCAATGCCTTGTCTTGTATCCTGCTGCAACGCAAACATTTCCCAAATTGGGATCAATAAAGTACTTCTTATCTTAACTCAAATAAAACCCAGTCATTTCCTGAACAATTAAATGAGTAGGTAACCTGTGAACAGGGAGAACAAAAGGCAGCTTATTCTGAATGAGCTTGTCTATATGATTGAACATTTTAAAAGACACATTTTAGACAAGCGTATTGAATAAGCGCATGAGAGGAAGGAAGCTAAGGGTCATATACAACGTCCTCTGCAATACAAGAAGAAATGACATTAAAAAACATTCATTTCTGCGCTTTCTCTCTGTTTATAATACATTTGAACCTCAACAGTAACACTGGCATTGATGGAGATGACGACACTCTACGCAAACACTTATGTTTCTCTCAGTCTGACTGCAGAACTGTTGCTCACATTAATTAAAGGACCTTCTTGTCCTGAGCATGTTATTGAATTAGTTTCCCTGCGTCTCACCCGGCTCCCTGTAGCCTGCTGTAGTGAGGAAGGTTGCCAAGTAGCATGAGGAGAAGCGCCAAGTGATTTCATGGAGCTTCATTTAGGGAAATCTGAGACCGGGTCTGTTGAATATAGCCGTATCTAACACACTGTATTGTGGTTTCATTATGACTGATATAGCAACTGTGATTTGATTTGTGATGTTAGAGGGAATGAGTATTTTTGAAAGATCATCATTGAAGATATTTAAAATGATGATGGTGGGATTTTTTTAAGACGATCTGTACCAAACTTTAATAAGGCTTTTAGTTGTTTTCATTTACTTGTAGTGTGTTATATAGGATGTCTGCAGGTAAACATGTTACAGTAGAGGCTCAAAATACAAATAAGTACATGGAAATTAGCATATAGAGTGCCGCAGTGACGCGTCCTAAAACCCGGAAGTAAGTTAGCATTTTACCACTTCCGGTTCCTTCGATAAAAAGCAATCTCTCCAGAGGGTTCTGGAAACTATCTGAAATAAGGTCTGTGGTTGAGACACATTGAAGAGACGGATCACGTTTTGTTCTAGGACATTAAATCATCAGCAGTGACCCCACTGGTGATTTCTGAAGAGTTGACGTGTCTGAAAAACGATGGTTGTTACCAAGTGGCTGAATAGGACTACAGAAGTCGTGGAGGCCGTTTTACGTCATTACGTCGAACACGTGAACACTCCTCTAAGTTAGTTAGCCCTGTTCTGCTTGAAAGCAAGTCCCTGCCTCCTGCAGACTGTTCAAACAAACGCTTCAACTCGTTCCATTTAGAGTCTGTGTGTTTGAATATGGATCTTAAGTCGGCGTGACGTTGAAGCAGCGACCCTGCTGAAGTTCCTTTATAGCATAACGTTAGCATTTTGCTTCTGGCGACTAGATTTATGATTCGAAAATTATAAAAGTAGGTGGAGATTATCCGACTGAACAAAACGTGATCAGTCTCTTCAATGCGTCTCAACCACAGACCTTATTTCCAGCTATTTTCCAAAACCCTATGGAGAAATTGCATTGCGTTTTTGACGAAGGAACTGGAAGGAGTTTACTTCCGGGTTTTAGGACGCGTCACTGCGGCGCTCTATAGAGGCCTCTTTAAGGTCCATAATACCATTTGTAGGTCAGGACTTGGAATAAAAATAACATATCGTGATTATTTTTGACTGATTTGCAATTTTGATATGATTCCAAATGATAGGAATGCATTATAATTCTCATCTTTTAAAAATACATTCAAACAATTATGGTGTGACCCAAAGATATTGAAGTGACTGTTATTTTGTATATATTGATTGTTGTGCTTTTATGTATGTCTTAATGTGTGCATACGTATAAATGTGTCTGTTGATTGTGTATATATAGGATATACATATAGTTGTATATATATTTGTATTTTTGTGTTCAGGATTGTGGGAAACGCTATTTCGATCTCTCTATCTGTACACACAAACTGAAAGATTGAGAATAAAGTGGACTTTGACTGATATGTACCAAACATGTTTTTTTTGTTGAGTCTGTAAAACACTTTGTAGGCAGGGAAAACCCTACTGCCCCATAAAACTTCATTCAGATATTTCCAGCTACTTAATATGAAATGGAATCTGGTTATTGCACTAGTCCAACACTAGCTCATATTGTGACTTTGATGCACTTTTGATAAATGAAACCTCCCTTATAAGAGCTGATATCTAACACAATGCATTTGGTGATACTGTCTTACAGCACAAAGACAACCATCAACTGTCGTCTTCCTCAGTGAAGCTAATCAGTCCTCCTGCGTGTTTCAGCCTCTCCCTGGAGCCTCCTCTCTCCTCCCTCCTCCCCCCGGCTTGTTGTTCCTGTTTGGCCAGCCGGGGAGCATATGCTGTGACAACACGCCCCGGCTTTATTTACACACCATAATGCAATTATATTTCATAAGAGTGTACAACAGTAGCTCATTAGCAGCTTCTGGTGTTGCGGTGGGCCGGGCAGCGCGTGCCGCTCCACCGTCAGCTCCCTCAGGTACTAGAGCTGATGCTGACTGAGCTAAAGGGCCCCCCGGGACACACACAC